AATTGATCATCTCTGAGCATGATTAAACAAGGAAGAAAAAAAAGATAATGCAGGCAAACCATCATCAGAAAAGGAAGAAAAAAAATACATTACTACAGAACCACTAGGCATTAAAAAGATAATAAGAGGATATTATGGATAATCTTTTGCCAATATTTTTGAATATTTAGCTGAAATGCAAAAATTCTTTGAAAAACACCATTTAGAAATGACCAAAGAACCAATAGAAAATCTGAATAATCCTGATATCATTAAAAATGTTCAATCTGTAATTAATACCTTTCAACAAGAACAACTAAATGAAACAAACAAACAAAAAGCAAACGCTTTCTAGGCCCAGATATATTTTACAATAAACAGTTAACAATATTGTGTCAAACTCAGATTTCCTGAATTTGAATGTATGTTCAATTCAACTTTGAAATACATGCTGAGGTACCGAAGAGTAAAGGAACATAATGTGTATAAGTAATTCTCAAATGGTTCAGGGGGGAACATCTGCAATTTTGTTGGGGGGGGGGTGCGCGTAGGGGTGTATACATACACACATATGTATATACATACATATACATATAGCAAAATGTTGACAATTTGTGAATCTGGGTGAAGGATATATGGAAGTTATTTGTATGAATCTTGCAACTTTTCTGTGAGTTTGTGTTAATTTAAAAATAAAAAATTACTGGAAAAAATAAATAAAAATTAAAAATTTAATACACAGAAAGAGAAAGTATTAACACCCAATCTTCCAAAGAATAAAAAAAATGGGAATAATTCCCATTTCATTTTATGAGAATTCCAAAATCTTGATATCAAAATCTGACTAGGACATTAGAAGAAGTAAAATTGCAGACCAATTTCTCTAATGCATATAGATGCATAATTCATGAAGAAAATGCTAGCAAATTGAATCCAGAGATACATAAAAATTAATACACCACAACCAAATAGAATTTGCCCCAAAAATGCAAGATTAGTGTAAAGGTTGAACATCAAATCTGTAAAATATACCCACTAGCAAAACTAAAAGAAAAAGAATCACATAATCATCTCACTAGATGTGGAAAAGCATTTGAAAAAATTCAACACCTATGCATGATAAAATCTCTTAGCATATTGGAAATAGAAGGAATTTTCTTCAGTCATAAAGGCCATATACCAAAGCCTCAGAGCAAATATCACAGTTAATGGTGAAATATTTTGCCCTGAGATGAGGAAGATAATATTAATATCTATCACCATTTTTATTCAACAATTTAGTAGAGGTCAAAATCAGTTCAAATAAGGCAAAAAATAAAACAAAAAGAATAATAATTAGAAAGGAAGAAATAAAATTATAATTATATATGACTAAACAATTGCTGAAAATGCATAAATGCAGAAAACCAGAAAGAATCTACAGCTAGATTATCAGTTATAGTCCAATTATAACACTCTGGACAGAAGTTCAATATACACAATATATGCAAAGAGACGATTTTATTCATAAATAGTATCAACAAACAGAAGACAAAATTTAAAAGCTTTGCTATTCATGATACCATCAAAAACATAAAACACCTGAGAGAAAACCTAGTCCAAATGCAAAAGATATCCAAGAAATATTACAGATGTAAGCCATGGACAGACATACCATGTAAATGAATTGAAATACCAATATTGTCAAAGTCAAATTACCTCAAAATTCATCTGTAGATTAAATCCAATCTTAACCAAAATCGTGCTGCTTTTTTAGAAAAAATATTTTTATTTCAGCTTTATTGAGGTATAATTGGCAAATAAAATTGTTAGATACTTAAAGTGTATGTCCTAGTGATTTGATATATGTAAACATTGTGGAAGAATTCCTCCCACCTAGTTAACACATCTATCACCTCACAATTTGTTTGTTTGTTCTTGGTGAGATCATTTAAGTTTTACTCTCTTAGCAAATTTCAATTATACAATACGTGTTATCATAGTCACCATGTTTAATATATGTATACATATATAAGTGTATATCTCACAACTTCTTTACCCACTCATTCATTGATGAACACAGGTTGTTTCCGTATTTTAGCTATTGTGAATGATGCTGGAATGAACATTAGAGTACAGAAATAGCATGATATCCTATTTTCATTTCCTTTGGATATACACCCAGAAGTGGAACTGCTGATCATACAGTAGTTCTATTTCTACTGTTTTGAGGAAACTGCATACTGTTTTCCATAGTGGCCAATTTACATTTCCATCAACAATGTACAAGAGTTCCCTTTTCTCCACAGCCTTGCCAACATTTATTATCTCTTGTCTTTTTGATGATAGCCATTCTAACAGGTGGGAGGTGATAACCCATTATGGTTTTAATTCGCATTTCCCTGATGATAGCGATGTTGAGAACATTCATGTACCTGTTAGCGATTTGTATGTCTTCTCTGGAAAATGTCTAACCAGTTCCTCTGCCCATTTTTTAATTGGATTTTTGGGGATTTTTTGTTATTGAGTTCTATGCATTCTTTATATACTTTGGCTATTAACCCCCTTATCAGATGTATGATTTACAAATATTTTCTCCCATTCGATAGGTTGCCTTTCCATTTGGTGATGGTTTCTTTTGCTGGACAGAAGCATTTTAGTTTGATGTACTCTCACTTGCTTATTTTTGCTTTTGTTGTCTTTGCTTTTGATGCCAAATCCAAAAAATCATTGCCAAGTCTGATATGAAAGAGTTTATCCTCTATGTTTTCTTCTACGACTTTTATGGTTCAGGTTTTACATTCAAGTCTTTAATCCATTTTGAGTTGATTTTTGCGTGTAGTGTAACATAGGGGTCCAGTTTCATTCTTTTGCATGCAGCTGTCCAGTTTTGCCAAAGCCATTTATTGAAGAGACTGTGCTTTCCATATTGTATATTCTTGGCTTCTTTGTTGTAAATTAATTGACCATACATGCGAGGGTTTATTTCTGGGCTCTGCATTCTTTTCCATTGATCTATGTGTCTGTCTTTATACCAATACCATACTGTTTTGATTACTATGCTTCGTAATATAGCTTGAAATCAAGAAGTGTGATGCTTCCAGTTTTATTCTTCTTTCTCAAGATTGCTTTGGCTAATTGGGGTCTTTTGTGGTTCCATACTAATTTTAGGATTGTTTTTTCTATTTCTGTGAGAAATGCCATTGGAATTTTGATAGAGAGTGCCTTGAATCTGTAGATGGCTTTGGATGGTGTGGACATTTTAACAATATTAATTCTTCTGATCCACAAGCCCATGATATCTTTCCATTTGTTTGAGTTTTCTTCAATTTCTTTAATCAAAGTCTATAGTTTGCATTGTACAGATATTTCATTTCCCTGGTTAAATTTATTCTAAAGTATTTTATACTTTTTGATGCTATTGTGAATGGGATAGTTTTCTTTATTTCTTATTCAGATGTTTCATTGTTAGTGTAAGGAATGCAACTTATTTCTGTATGTTGATTTCATATTCTGCAACTTCAGTGAATTCATTGATGAGTTCTAACAGTTTTTTGATTGAGTCTTTAGGATTTTCTATATATAAGATCATATCATCTGCAAATTATGACAATTTTACTTCTTCCTTTACAATTTGGATGCCTTTTATTTCTTTATCTTTCCTGATTGCTCTAGCTATGACTTCCAGCTATGTTGAATACGAGTGATGAGAGTGGGCACACTTGTTGTGTTGCTGATCTTAGAGGAAAAGCTTTCAACTTTTTCACACTTTACTATGATGTCAGCTGTGCATTTGTCATATACGGCCTTTTTTTATGCTGAGGTATGTTTCTTCTATATCCAATTTATTCAAGGTTTTATCATGAAAGGATGTTTTATCTTGTCAAATGCTTTTTCTGCATCTATTGAGATGATCATATGATTTGTATCTTTCATTCTAATAATGTAGTGTATCACATATATTGATTTGCATATGTTGAACCATCCTTGCATCCCAAAGATAAATCCCACTTTGAATGCGTTATTGAATTCAGTTTGCTAATATTTTGGTACAAATTTTTTTATCTATATTCACCAAGGATATTGGTCTATAGTTTTCTTTTAGTGTAATTATCTGGATTTGGTATCAGGGTAATGCTGGCTTCATGAGATAAATGTGGGTGTCCCTTCATCTTCTGTTTTTTGGAAGAGTTTGAAAAGAATTGGTGTTAATTCTTTAAGTGTTTGGTATAATTCACAAGTGAAACCATCTCTCCTGGACTTTTCTATGTTGAGTGTTTTTAATAACTGAATCTATCTCCTTACTCATTATTGACCTATTCATATTTTTTATTTCTTCATGGTTCAGTCTTGGTAGGTTGTATGTTTCTAGCAATTCATCCATTCCTTCTAGTTTATCCAATTTGTTGGCATATAATCAGTTGTTCATAATGGTCTCTTATAAAACTTTGTATTTCAGGAGTATCAGTTGTAATGCCTCCTCTTTCATTTCTGATTTTATTTATTTGAGATTTCTAGTTAGTCTAGCTAGAAGTTTTTCTATTTTGTTTATCTTTTCAAAAAACCAGCTCTTAGTTTCATTGATCTTTTCTATGGTCTTTTTAGTCTCTATTTCATTTATTTCTGCTCTGGTCTTTATTATTTCCTTCCTTCTACTAACTTTGGCCTTAGTTTATTCTTTTTCTAGTTCTTTGAGGACCTCTTCTTTGGAGAGGAAGGAGGACATAGTAATTGGCGGGATGTAACAGTGGCTTCTGGGGTGCTGTTAATGTTCTTTATTGATCAGGATGGGGTACATGGCTGAGGTATACACATTGCTTATTCTTCTCTATTATTATACTTAAATAATATAGGTCATTAAAAAAATAGTATTACTCTTAACACTTCTTGCCCTGACCTGAAAAATGAATGAACAATGAAAAGAACCATATCTCACCATGAAATACCTTACTTTTGAGCCACTTTTTCCACACCCTCTGCTCTTAGGAACATTTCACTCAAGGAGGATCCTGAGTACCAGTTAACCCCTCCCTCTCTCTTACCTGAGCAGATCACAGAGGCTGTGTTTCCATGGGTACAGTCAGGAATGCCCAGGGCAGTCATAGGGCAATTCCACAAGAAGGACTCAGCCCCTGAGCAGTGAAATTGGGCTTTCCAGATCTGATCATCTCCTTCCACAAAGTATACTCCTTTTGGGATAGAGGTGGCAACTCCACAGCCAAGCTGATGACAGACAACATTGGCATTGGCCATATTCCAGTGGGAAGCACAGAGCATTCTCCATTTTCCAGAAATATTCATCTCCACTTGTCCCTCACACTGAGGGGTGCCATTTTTCACAAGCCGGACTTCTGTGTACACTGATAGAAGAAGACAGGATTTCAGTAAAATCTCATGTTTTCCTTACCCCAGCAGAGTATGCAGGGAGGTTAAAGTCCTGCTCTGCATCTCACCTGAGCAGACAATGTGAACAGCCCCACTGTGGTGGCAAGTACCTCCTGGACAGGGCACTCTGGGGCAGAACCAGAGTTCAGGCTCCTTCCCCTCACACCGGAACTCTTCAGCCCAAACTCGTCCATCTGACACTTTGAAGGGCACATCTACCAGGACGGACACAGCCTTGCCACACCCCAGCTCTGCACAGATGACCTGGGCAGTGGGAAGTGTGAAGTTCCCAACAGACACTGGAGTCCAGTCTCCTCCAGAATGCACTTCCACTTGCCCTGAGCAGGGTCCATCCCCACCAACCAGACGCACAAATCCTAAGAGAAAACAAACAAACAAACCCAGTGAATTTTCATAATCATGGCTTGGCAATTAGAAGTAGCATGTCACAAACAATAGTGTGAAAGCTTTTCTTTTTCCAGTAATTGGAAATGAGGAGAGAATTTAACAGTCAGTGTCAGAATAGGACCTCCATGAGTGAGTTTCTGTAGACAGATCATTTGGAATGGCTGAATACCAGGAACATATAGTTTGGGGTTGGTTAGAGAAGTGCATTCCTCATCTAAGGGCCTGGGATCTACAGAGCCCGAGAAAACCGCACAATACATGGGCATTCAAACTTGAGCGAAGAGGTATGAAAAACAGAACCAACCCGGAGGGACATGGGCTATGAAAGGGTAGAGATCTGCCAGTCACACAAAGTCATAAAGTCATCCTGGGACTTGTGGGGCTCAAATTCTAATCAGCTTTCTCTCTCAGGAGTCAATTCTCAAATGCCTGAGAAGGGGGAAAATCATGAGGGCTGTATCCTTGAAGGCATTCCAACCTGTAGACAGATTGATGGCCTAAGATTAGAAATATAGTTCTTATAACTAATCCACTTTTATGGTTTCATGTTTTATTTTTCTGGTAGTTTTTGATGGCGTAAAATTCCAAAAATATCTTCGGTGACCTAAATTGGAAAGGTAAGTCTGGATGTTAAGAAAGCATAGAATTATAGCAGAGGGAAGGGCTGGTCCTAGCCATCTCTCTTGAAACCCTAGGATATGCCAATGAACTGGGGAGAGACTGAGTTCTCAGTGGGACTTTAAAAGACAGCTGAGGGGCCGGCCTCGTGGCTTAGTGGTTAAGTGTGCATGCTCCGCTAGTGCCGGCTCAGGTTCGGATCCCGGGCACGCATCAACACACCGCTTGTCTGGTCGTGCTGAGGTGGCATCCCACATATAGCAACTAGAAGAATGTGCAACTGTGACATACAACTATCTACTGGGGCCTTGGGGAGAAAAAGGAGAAAAAAAGGAGGAGGATTGGCAATAGATGTTAGCTCAGGGCCAGTCTTCCTCATAAAAAAAAAAAGAAAAAGAAAAAGACAGCTGAGTTTGCTGATCCCTTCCTACCAAAGTGTTTTCTTTTGATATCAGTAGTCTTAGTAATGCTAAGGAGTGATAGTAATTGATTTTTATCCTGTCATTATGCTAACTCCGTATTCCTATCCAACATCAGCAAGATAGTGGAATAGGAAGTTCTTAACCTTCATTCTCACACAGAAACAATGATATGGCAGTCATCCATGGACAAAAGTGCAGTTTCAGGAAGCTTTGGATCCAGGGGGGAGGTTGCAAAATCGTGGTGGATACAAAGACTGAGGAGGGCCAATATGAGAAGTCACGTCCATGCCCTCATGGAAGGCCTGCTGACTGTGTCCCAACTGCAGACCTGAAAGCAGCTCCAACCCTCTGTGGACTTGAGTCCAGCCTTGCTTGTCCATGGTCCTGCCAGAAGTCCCATCCACCAAAGGACCCTGGAGAAGCCATACCCATCCATGCCCCCAGTAGCAAGCTTGGCAATGTGGACATGACTGTGAACCCAGAGGCAGCTCTATCACCTGGCTCCAACCCTGTGCCACTGTGGTCCTGGAGGCAGTCCTGTCCACCCAAGTACCCAGAAGGAGACATGCCCATTGGTGCCCCTGGTAAGAGGACAGCAAAATGCATACCTGACTGTTGACTCTGAAGCAGCCCTGTGACCCAGCTCTGGCCCCACTCTACCACACTTCAGAGGCAGTCTTGCCCACCCAGGAGCCCAGCAGAAGCCACACCCATCAATGCCCCTGCTAAGAGACTCACTGACTGTAGACCTAACAGCATACCTGGCAGCAGCCAGATCACCTGACTCCAGCTCTGCTAGACCATCATCCTGGAGGCAATCCTATCAGTCCAGGGACTTGGCAGAATATCTTTAACCTGTAAAAACCAGTCTGTAAAGACTGGAAGAGCAGTCTGCTCCTTCAAATGCATAGACACAAATGCAAGCGTAAACAAATTATGAAGAACCTGACAAACATGATGCCATCAAAGGAAACTAATACTTCTCCAGTAACTAACTCTAAAGAAATGGATACCTATAAACTACTTGACAAAGAATTCAAAATAATTGTCTTAATGAAGCTCAATGAGCTATAAGAGAGCACAGACAGACAACTAAACAAAATCAGGAGAAAAATATATGAACATAAAGAGTTTAATGAAGAAATATAAAACATAAAAAGAAATTCTGGAGCTCAAAGATACAATGATGAAACTGGAAAATTTAATAAAGAGCTTCCACAAGACTTGATCATGCAGAAGAAAGAATCAGGAAGCTCAAAGACACTTCAGGGACATTTGAAATTATCAAAGTAGAGGCATAAAAAGAGGAAAGAGTGAAGAAATCATATGGGATATATGGGACATATGGGACACTATAAAGCAAAATAATATACACATTTGAGAGTCCCAGAAAGAAAAGAGAAAAAGAAAGGGGCAGAAAGCTCATTTAAAAATATGGTTGAAAACTTTCCAAATATAGGCAGAGAAATGGGCATCTTGATTTATGAAGCACAAAAGTTCCCAAATAGATAGAGCTGAAAGAGGTCTACACCAAGACACATTAAAATTATCAAGAGGCTAGCCGAGTGGCGCAGTGGTTAAGTGCATATGCTCCACTGTGGTGGCCCGGGGTTTGCAGGTTCAGATACCGGGTGCACACCAACACACTGCTTATCAAGCTATGCCTTGGTGGCGTTCCATATAAAGTAGAGGAAGATGGGCATGGATGTTAGCCCAGGGCCACTATTCTTCAACAAAAAAGAGGAGGACTGGCATCAGATGTTAGCTCAGGGCTGATCTTCCTCACAAAAAAAAAAAAATTCAATTACCAAAATTCAAAAACAAAGTGATAATTTTGAAGGCAATGAGAGAAAAGCAGCTTGTCACATACAAAGGAGCCCCTGGAAGACTGACAGCAGATTTCTTGCAAGCCAGGAGAGTAGAATGATATATCCAAAGTACTGAAAGAAAAACACTGTCAACCATGGACACTTTACCCAGCAAAACTGTCCTTTAAGAGGTAAGGAAAGAGAAAAAATTTTCCAGTCAAGCAAAAACTGAGGGATTTCATCACCACTAGACCCACCTTATGGAAGTGCTAAAAGGAATTCTTAAAGATGAAATGAAAAGATGCTAAACAACAATACAAAGTATGTTCATGTATGAAAGTATAAGTCTCACTGGTAAAAGCAAATATAAAAGAAATACAGAATATTGTAATATTGTCATGGTGGCACATAAATTGCTTTTAACACTAGTATATAAATTAAAAGACAAAAAGAATAAAAATAAATATACCACAGAAATTTGTTGTTGGAAACACAATATAGAAAGAAATAAAATCTGACATCAATTACATGAAGTGTAGAGGGAAGTAAAACGTAGAGTTTTTGTGTACTATTGAAGTTAAGCTGTCAGCTTAAAACAGACGGCTATAACTATAAAATGTTTGATGCAAGCTCCATGGTAACTACAAAAAAACTACAGAAGATAAAAAAAAAGATAAAGAGAAAAGAATCAAAGCATACCACTATGAAAAATCATCAAACCATAAAGACAATAACAGAAGAAGAACAAGAAATACAAAACAGAGAGAAAACCACAAAATGACAACAGCAAGTCCTTACCTATCAATAATGATTTTAAATGAGAAGGGACTAAACTTCCCAGTCAAAAGACATAGAGCACCTGAATGGATTAAAAAACAAGACTCAAGTACATCCTGTCTACAAGAGACTCTTCATGACACACATAGGCTGAAAGTGAAGGGGTAGAGAAAGAAATTCCATGCAATGGTAACCAAAAGAGACCAAAGGTGGCTATACTTACATTAGACAAAATAGACATTAAGTCAAAAACTGTCACAAGAGACAAAATCATGATGTAATGATAAAAGAGTCAATTCAACAAGAAGATATAACAATTACAAATATCTACACACCAAATATCAAAGCACCTAAATATATAAAGCAAACATTGATGGATCTGAAGGGAGAAATAGACAGCAATACAATAATAGTAGGAGACTTCAATATACTACTGTCTATAATGGATAGGTCATTCAGACATAAAATCAATAAGGATACAGCAGACCTGAACAACACTATAGACCAAACAGAACTAACAGACGTGTACAGAACATTTACCCAACGGCAGAAGAATACACTTTCTTCTCAAGCACACACAGAATATTCTCCAGGATACATGACATGCTGGGTCACAAAACAAGTCTTAACAAATTTAAGAAGATCAAAATCATTCCAACTATCTTTTCTGCCCACAGTGCAATGAAACTAGAAATCAATAACAATAAGAAAATAGGAAAATTCATGAATACATAGAAACTAAACAACACAATCATATTTTAAGGTTGTTTTTTCTATTTCTGTAAACAAGGCCATTGGGATTTTGATAGGGATTGCATAAAATCTATAGATTATTTTGGGTAGTATAGACGTTTTAACAATATTAATTCTTTTAATCCATGTATACAGGATGTCTTTCTATTTATGTGTATCTTCTTTAGTTTCCTTCATCAATGTTTTATAAACTGAACATATTACAATTAAAACAGAAGCTGGCATGCTGCCAAAAAAAACAGAGAGTGAGAGGAAGAAAGTAGAGAGCAAGCAAGCCATAATTTGGAGACTTCTGAACTGTAAAAGCCTCAATATAGATAAAATACATAGTATTTGGGGAAAACACTTGTTGAATACATTTTTAGCATATTGCATCACCCTCTGCTTCCCCCGTCTACCACCTAACCCTGCCATCCTTTCCCATTTCTTCCACTTCAGACAAGCAAAAACAATCTTGAAAGATAAAGATATGGATGAAAAATAAAATCAAAAAGGGAAGCAAGTGCTGTAGAAGTGGAGTGTGGGTGGCGGATGTGGCAGCAAAGGTAGGATCATAGGAACCTTTGAAACTAAAGGAGGGACACCAAAATA